ACTTCCAACCACACGTGGTCACATACACAAAGTGTCACCGAGTGAGCCTGTAGCATCTCGAGACTTCCATCTGAATAGAAGAAAACATTAAATGGAGCTGATAGCATGTATTTCAGGGCGAGAAAATCAAGCCTGAGTTTGGCCAGCCACGCCTACAAGGGCCAGTCGAGTCTTAAAGCATCCGCCGAACACCGAGTGATAAAAAAACAGAGCATTGAAGAGCCGCTTTTGGAATCACGCCAAAGATCCATTGCTTTCCTTCCTGCCTATAAACAAGCACAATAGCCAATTTGTCAGCCCGGTAAAAAGTATCGTAATGCCAGGGGGAGAATAAAAATTTCCCCTTTTTCCGATAACTTTTGCCACTGTAATATTGATAAATATAAACAAAACAAGAGAATTAGTGTGTTAGCACATTTTTATCACTTGTATGCGTCGAAAATTTTGTCTTTACTAGTTGCTTAAAAACATTCGGCACTACATTGCATTAAAACTGAACTTTTAACCGACCATAGCTATATATTGATAAGGAGTTATTACATGTTTTCACTTTTGTGTCATTAAAATCGTTGTAGTGATTTGTTATTTCTCAGTATCAATTGAAAGGACAAGATAAAACGCGCTCTTGTGATTTTCTATCTAGACCAATCGACAGTCAGCTGGTTTCTAGCGGAAATACGAATATGTATATACCTACTTGAACTGTACAGACATGCAACCCTCAAGAAGTAGTGTTGTTGACATAAAAGATCGTCTAACATCATTGGAAAACATTCTCGCTGATCCTTTCTCAGACCTAAACATTGAAAGAATTTTGGATGTTTTCATTTCCGCTGTACTGGATAGCCAATGCATCCCCAGAGATAAGCCTGACACCCAAATATTGACATTTTCTGAAAGGTATGTTCCCTGATTTTATGGTTTTTTATTTACTAAGCTCTGGTCCTTTCGGTTTCGGTTGCCCTGTATTTGCACCATTTAAAGAGTCTAAATCTATTACGTTCCCTTTGTGTCTGTTTACACATTAGCTTACTTCTTTTTGTCTGTCTTTCCTTTGTCTATTTAAATCATGTCTATAAGAATTTCATATGCATTTACAAAGTCCTGGTTTTCTGCTTAGATTTACTGACTCAGTTAAGCAGTTGCTTGTGCTTCGACGACAACGACATGACTTCACCTTTCTTTCTACTCTTGGCCGCGGTGCGTATGGTCGTGTTGACCTCGTTCGAGAGAATGCAACTGGCCGAGTGTGCGCGATGAAAACGCTTGACAAATCAAAAATGCTCAGTCAGCAAGCTGACTTTTGGGCTGAGCGAGAAATAATGGCTCAAAGTGTATCACCGTGGATTGTTCGTCTCTTCTACTCCTTCCAAGTACTTTTTGTTTGGCATTTACGACCATTTATTTCGTGGTAGTTTGCGGAGTTCTCTTCATTTTTTATGGCACTTTTTCAGATTTACTTTCGGCGTTAATTTTACAGCACGAAATGTCACGATAGCAACACAGTTACCACTACGTTCATTTGATAATTAGGTCTTCCTAATAATTGCGTCTTTTATCCTACTGGCTAGATCTCACA